CCTTCACAGCTTCATCCAGGAGGATTTCTCAGCTCAGCTGCGACATGACATCAAGAAGCCAGAAAAAGCTCCCAAACACGTTTTGCCTGTCCTTGCCTCCAAAGCCACCACAGAAGGGAATAATGTCCCTGTTTTTGTCAACCTGTTGACCATTGCTTCTTTATTAGAGCTATGTTTAGCCCTCCTGAACAAAACAGAAAATTTGACATGTCATCTGACGTCGCGGCGGCTTGTTATTGGGATGCGTCAAATGGCAGAGCAGAAGGTGTCAGGTAATTACTGTTTTAACGGCGTTTAGGAAAATTCACCACCAGTCGCTCTTCCTCCTCGAATGTGTTTTCTGGAATTTGACTTGTGTTTTGCTGTTTCCGTCCCGTCACATAAAATGACGACAGCACTGAGGGTACTGGGCAAAAATGGGCATTTTTGTTGTGTTTGCTGAGATATTCTGAGAGGTGCTAATATCCTGGTTGTATGCCACTTTTCCACCGCCTCCCACTTTGTATCTGTCGCTTTTGTCTGCTCTCTACTTCTCGTTCCTCTGTCTGTACCCCCCAACCACATGCGCCCTCCAAACCGAAGCACATGGCAGACCCTGGTGTAACTGTCATCAAAGGCAGGCTTTGAAAAGGGAAACACAAAAATTGCAATTATATAGGACTGACAGCACAGTCAGGCCAGCAAGGACGGAGAAGGCACGTGGAAGACGAGTGAATGAGTTCAAAGATGTGAGACAACGCTATAAGAAGCAGACAAAGACCTCAGACTTCTTTGATTATGTAAGCTTTGTGCTGAAAGTCTGTTTTAGTCATGCTTCCAGACACGTTTTACCTGCAACAGTAACAATTCATCTTATTTGGAGAGTGTCTTAGGTTTTGTTAGAGACCATTGGGAAACAGCATCACAAACCACCAGGAAACATGCCATACTGAGTCCAACACATGGTTAGGGTATAAAACAGTATCGAAGTAGAGTATTTATCAAAGATGCGGCCAAATCGCCAATTTGTTATGCTTGCCACAAAAAGAAAGAAAGAAGGAAAGAAAGTTCATACACTTTTTTGTTTCTAGTTCAATACCTTAAGTTAATGCAAAGAAAAGGCATATTTCAATCCAAACAGTGATTTAAACTCCAACCACCAACCAAAGACAATCAATTTTGAAGCTAGAGATTTCCTTCATAGACACTGAACCAGAACTACTTGTCCAAACTAGACTGGGTTCTCCAAGGCAAATGTTGGAGTCTTGACCACTGTCATAAGTTCAGTAAGCAAGTAGCTCACTATGTAATATGTGGCTACCCAGAAGGAGACCTTGTATGCTGGCTTTGATGGAAGCGCCCATTCCGACTGACAGAGAAGTAAAATCATAGTTAGAAAATATTAGATAGCATAATTCTTACAAGATTCTAACAGAAAACCATGTTTAATTTGAAGAAAGCAAGAAAAACAGTTACTCCATATGACTTAATTTACTGACAGATGTTGTAGCAGCTCCCATCAAGCTCCGAAGAAGCTTACTTCCTAAAGCGTGATAATGTTTTACATATTAAAAATGTCACTTTTGAGAGGCAATTGTTTGGAAAAGCAAAGAACAATGTGCTTTACGAAGGCCAAGGCATTCAAGGACACGAGAGCGCTCACGTGTCTGTGAGTGCAACTGAAGTCCGCATGTGACAGTCCTTTTGTAGTGGGTTAGTTGGGAAAACCTCAGGCAAACTGGTTTGTAAAAGCGTCACATTTACAGACACTGGAGGCTTTGATTGCCTCCAGTGTTGCAGTGGTTGAATAAACAGTTTTGGGGCACTTCTGTATTTTTTTTAAATATAGATACTTTCTACCTGCAGGTGTTTTTTTGGTTTTTTGTTGTTGTTTTTTTTACAGAATCCACCTTCTGTCACCTGACTGATTAGCAAGTCCTATATCCCACCTCTATACTCAGCCACTCAGCTGCAGATGAAGTACTGCTGCCTCAGTGCTCTGCTGGAGGTCAAACGAGGTTCTTTGGAGAAAGCCAGCATTCCTGTAGCCATGTCCAATTTGTTACTTGACACTTTCCAAAAACAGAGGCATTTAATTGCGGGTCCCGTTTTCGTTTTGCTCTCTCTATCATTGCCGTTTTATTGATCCGTTTTTCAAAATTTTCAGCTGTATGCAATGTTGCATGCCTGGAGTTGTGTGTAAGTGGATGCTGATGTCTGTGCACATGTCTGACTTGTAATTAGCTTTGTGCTCTGGTCTGTATGGCATTTTAACAAATGCTTCTATATTTATTTATATGGACATGCTATCAGACTGATGTTTTAGCAGAGTAACTCCGTCCACCTCCTTTGCTTTCCGTCCCTTTGGATTGGGGCTATGTTGTTTTTTTAAGCTTTTGTGGGTTCTTTGTTCCCCCTTTATCTTTTTTTCAGTTCTTGCAATTCTGAAAATTATGTCTCAGAAGCTTTTTATTGGCACAAGGATTTTGTCTCCCAGACTGAACTCATAAATGCATTATAATTTTTATTTTGCAGTTTGTGTAAGACACAGCTTGCCGTTGGCAGGCTCCGTACCATTCAGATGTTTGAGTGTGTCTTTGTGTGTATTTCCCCTTTATGAACAAGCCATGTGGAAATCAGTTGTGTAGATGCTACATACATATAATACTGTGCAAAGGTTTTACTCCTTATTTCTTTATTCTTTGCTTCCAAGAGGCTATATTTTCTTGTAATCTTTATAAAGTGGTTCTGATTAATAAATCCCTAAGGATGTTTCCGTAAAATAAGAGGAAAGCGGACAAGTGGAAAAACATTACTTAAAAGACAAGTTTTCAAGAAACAGGAAGACATTCTGACACAGGTAGCTCTCACCTTCCCAAGAAAAAAAGTAAAATAAAATAAAACATAGCCTGAAGATAATTGGGGTACTATAACGTCTTCATCTCATTAATGTGGCAATTGCACAATAACCGGAACCGGACGGCCCTGGTGTATGATGACCAAAACCTGGGGATCTCTGCGATCCATCTTGAAAGGAGTCAGTTGAGGTAGTTCAGATAAGGATTTCTTCTGGTTGTCTCTCTCTGGTTGTTTTCAATTTATGTCTAATTGAAAGGGAAGGAGAGCTCTAACTCTCTGGAGGAACTAAATTTCCAGAATAAATAATTAAAAATGTGTTGATTTTCTTGTTGGGTACCTGTGAAAACATGTTTTTCTACTGGCTTGATGGTTAAGAGCATCATTAAACAAGTATCACCCACACACATGCACAGTGTGCAGGTTGACTGTTTTAGCAGTGACAGACGGGGCATGTCCAGAGGGTGTGTGGGGTGTGTCTGTGGTCAGACTGACCATATAAGACACAGCTAGATACTCTAAAGATTTTCATTCAGCTGCACTGAAGAGTGCAGATCTCGGTTTTGACTCATTTCTGTAACTTCTTTTCATGCTTCATTCATTTCATTTTATTTCCGGTTGAAGAAGAACTAGTTTGTCTTTTTGAAGCTTTATTTTCAGTGTCTCTCAGAACATTAGTTATCAAAGTGTGTGAGTTAGGGAGAAAACTGCAGCATTTTTAAGTTTAGTATTGATTCGGTTTTATTAGTCAAGCATCCTTGCTGGGTTGCCTCAGCAACCGTGTGGGTCCACTGCAAGTCTGGGGTGAGTATGCAGCTCAGCTGGATCTTCCTGCTCTCCTTCCTTAGCATTATCTCTTTAGTTTGGTTTCAATTCTCCTACTTTTAGCCCACTTTGTCATCTACTGTTTGTTTTTAGGGAAAACTGCACTTAGAAAAGCACATACCTAACATTTTTATATATATCTGTTATTTTTCCAGGAACCGCTCACAATTTTCCAAACAATTTGTGCAGAAAAAAAAATAAGAAATCTTACAGCAAACACAGACATCAGTTTGCATTTTTTTTTAAAAGTAACATCTTAAACCACAAAGTACCTAGCTGTTTAGTGGCAACTTCAGGCCCATCATGATAATGCCAGGGTTTTGCAAATTCATAGCCCTGTAATTGTGGCTTTAAATGAGAGATCTGTGCAGAGGAATTTCTCTCTGCAAATTTTCATGGTTTATCTTGACATTTGGCCCAATTAATGATGTTTTAGTGCAGTAGGGATGACATTTAGCATGTTTTTTTTTTATCACTAATAACATTCTGGTATCAGCTAAAACATTCGGGATGTTATGATATTTGTGCATGCTTATGCACACCCATTAAAAACAAGTAATAATTAATTTCATGATGGCACCTGTCATGCAATTCAGTAGATTAAGAGGGAAAAGTGAAGAAAATGAGTCAGTTGATTTGCTGCATCATGGTGATTATAATCAAATTTTTACATTTGATTAGATGTTTAAGTAATTTTTTATTTCAAAATGAAAAGGTGTGTTTTGTCAACCCCTATAATTGAGTTTGGGTACATGGTATTAAAATAGGGGGTCATATCTGGAAGTTTTATCACATTTTAAAAGGTTGTGATAATAATCATAAAAGTTGCTATATGCATATTAAGCTTTAATCATCATTGGTTTGCTCATATGCAATTTTTCCCATTAATCTGTTAATCTGTGAATCTCAAATCTCCACTCCTGAAGCTTGGAATCAGAAAACACTACTTCCAGGGTCAGATGATGTCACGTGTCGAGAAAGATCTCGACAGCATGTGTTAGCAAATGAAGGTGTTGTAGGATGAATCATTGGATGAACTGTATGTGTCAGCATCTGCAGCCCAAAAATAGCTGCAGAAAATCCCTGGTTCATTCACAGGAGTACACAAAAAGCTTCTGAATCATAGTAAATGTTATTTACAGCTCCAAGAGGTGCTTCTTACCGATCTGTGTCCAGAGTCTCGACTTTTGATCGCTAGCAAAAATGACTCAGCTGTTATGAACATGTGCTGTACTTGTATGCTAGTTTGCTCCAAATGGATGGTTATATTTAAGGTGTCATGTCATATTTGGAGCTTTCGAAACGGTACATTTATGTCCAGCTTGTTTGCTCTGCTGCAGATCATATGCACATAGAAGAATACATTGAAAAAGATGAGGAACCACCTGTGCTGCTCAACTCTCGTCCTTCTCGCGGTATAATACGTTACTTTTGTATGTTTTAATAAACGCAAATATGTTTGCACCTCCCCTCACTCAGACTTATGTATCTTCCAGGTGATAGGCTGTGGTGGAACTGCAGCGGTGCAGTGTCGGTGGGGAGAAGGGTGTGTGTGTTTGCAATGCCCTGCAGGCCAGGAGCCATCCAAGGTGAGCAAATGAGCCACAAGAATAAATGGTAAATTAATTTTCTCTTGCCCGTGTTGTCCACTATGCTTCCTTCAATGCATCTCCCATTGCTTTTATAATCCAAATCAAATACAAATGTGATGAAATGTGCTTGTGCATGTTTTTATCCACAGAATATACAATAAAAAGTAGTGGGTCATTCACTAGAAACAAACAAACAAACAAAAAAAAACTATTTAGTTTTGAAATACATTTTATTAAATCCTTATATTAATGTAAAGTCTGTAAAAGTCAAGGAATAAAGGCCAGCATGTAAACTTTTTTGTTTTTTTTTGTTTTTTTTGGAGACTTATTTACAGTGTCTTTCACAAGTATTAATACCCCTACATCCTTCAAACAGCTTGTGACTATTCCACCATTTCCTGAACTCATGATGTGTATGTAGCCTAAAAACAAGTATAGTGACCAGAGAACAGTTTTCCATATCCACTACAAGGCTTTTGACCAATGTTAAACTGGACATCTTAATGCATTCTTTCAACAATAGGTTTCTTTTTGTAAATTTTTAGCTCAAAATAAGTTGAAGGTTGTGTTTGTGGAATAGCACAAAATGCGAAAAAGCTCAAAAGGCACTGCAGGTTTAAAGAGATCAAGAGTTGTTGCCTTAAATCAATTTTAATCACTTCTATTTACTGCCAAAAACTGTGTAAGATTGTATCAGTAAAATCATGAAGAAAATATAAAACACAAACTCTCCTAGCTAAAGTTGACATTGCACAGCACAAGAAAGAGGCTCTGTTGTGTCTTATTTTTCAGTTTTATCTCCTCGTGTTTGAAGTCTTTTCTTTCTCTTTCAGCCTTGCAGGCAGATCCAGAGTTCAGCTGAAGACATTAAATGTCAGTTCTGCCCACCTGGGAGCTTTTCAGACACGGTCGACTCTGAGCTCTGTCGTCCACACACATCCTGCGAGATCCTGGGCAGAAATGTTTCAGTGTCTGGGACTCTGACCTCAGACGCTGTCTGTGGCGACTGTCTGCCTGGGTGAGAACTGCCGCTTCTGTCTTGCTGCTGCTCCACATGCGCCCACGATTTAAACTCATCTCGTCTCTATTTCTTTGTTCCTTGTTTTGTTTTTGTTTTGTTTTCCTCATCCAGATTTCTCTCTCCTGATGGGGGACAAGTTTCCACTGAAAGCGGTTGCACGAAAAGTAAGATTCTTTGCAACCCTACATTTGCTCCCTGGTGTTTATAGGCATCTATTCCTCTGATTCATTTTGCAATTCTTGTCTCCGTCCTCCAGCAGAATTGCATGCCAGAAAGGTTCGCACTGTGGAAAAAGGTTCCTCCAGTGGGGCAGGAGGACCAGCCAACAGCACGGTGGTTCGAAGTGCCGAGGAAAAGACGGCGGAGTACGCTGTGTTCGCATTGGTGCCTGTCTTCTGCATAATGGGCCTGTTGGGCATCCTGATCTGCAACATCCTGAAGAAGAAGGGATACAACTGCACTGCTGAGAAGGACGGGAAAGACGAAGAGACTGCCACACCTCAGAAAGAAGGTGAGAAAGACAAAAAAGTGCAAAATTGACCATGTAATGTCATTGAATCCTGTAATCCTGTAACGATTGGTGCTGTGATGTGCTCTAAAGGCATCAGCGCTCAGAGGAAGCGAGGGCTTTTTTTTTTTTTTTAATGCCATACAAGGGTCAATTCAAGAGTCAACAGAGCAGAAAAGTTAAGATGGGAAAATCAAACGAGGCAGACAGAAATCAATAAAAGCTATTAAAAGTTTAAAGTGAGAGAAACTGAAAAAGAAAAAGGATTAAGGGTGTGGGGGAGTGGCTCTAAAACAAATATTGATTCATCACACCCACTCTCTGCACGTTGTACCAACTGCTTTTCAAAAAAGAACAGCCATCTTGAGATTGTATTTCTAGGCATAATTCTTAGCCTTTGACCCACTTACACGCAAAAAGAGCTTTGAGAGTTGTTGATATAAGGCAGTAATTGACATTACAATTACAGTGTCGAGGTCACCCTCACTGCTTTGCACGTAATGTGGTAAAAAGCACCCACTTCTCCTCCATTATTCTCCTTTTGGATCTGGCGCACTGTGGTTGTTGGGTTCTCATTCTTGCAAAACACATGGGATGGGTTGTATTTTCCACAGGGAGTTGAAAGGACAAATGCTGAAGATTTTATTGAGAGATGGCATAATAAAAAGGTTTATCTTATGTAAAAAAAAAAAACTAAAAAAAAGTTTGGATAGCCTACAAACTGAAACCTGATTGTAATTCAGCATCCATGAAAAACAAAAACCATATAAAAAAAGGTAATATTCAGTAATTAATTGCCTAGGTTGTTTATTAGTTAGTCCAAAGAAGAAATTAGAGGGCCTTTAAAATGTGAGCCTTAACAGATTTTAAGCTGGCTAAGCCGGCTTCTTCTGCTCTCACCTGATGGTGCAAAGCAGAGCCAAAGAAGTATTATGACCCAGCAGGAGTGTCAGCTGGGAGCTCAACAGATCCTGTTAAAAGGCTGTTTACGTCTGCACAACAGCTGTTGCTTTTAGGTTTCTTAGTGACTGACATGGAGGAAGAGTGGGGTCTGATTTCTAATGAATTCAATTAACAATTATTGCACAATGTGGGGGACATGCATGTAGAAATCATTGAACTTTCAGCCCCAAGATGGTCAGAGACTCAACAAGTATTACGGGGTTGGGGGACAATAGAATTGAAAACTGTGCAAAACTTCATATTAAAACAGTTAAAATGAAATAAAAAGCACATTTAGAACATAGTAATGAACATGTGTCCACTTTAGACTTTATATTAGTCTGATACTTATCTGTGTTTTTATGTTCTATGAAGTAACAGACCCAACGGATACCTTTTCTTGCTCCCTATAAACTTTGACAGGACGTTTCACTGAGTTGAACAGACGCTCAATGTGATTAAAACCCAGACGGGTGAGCATAGAGGATGCCATTTAATAGTGGCAAGTGCTTCAGGTATCAGCGATGTCTGGTTTTTGTGTTTGTGTAACTGTTGCCTCAAAACTTAAATTGCTCCTGATGCTGCGAAGGAAACTGAACCTGAACCTCGCTCTCTCTGCGGCTCCGTCGTTTCTTCCATCTCCTCTCCATTTATCATAAGTTTCAGTCGTATCTGGTCAAGAACCCGACACCACCCATCCCTCTCTCCTTTCTCAGTCAGATCAATTATTTAATCAGCTCATTTACCTCATTGTTAATGTCTTCTGTTTCATTCTCCTTGGCCAGGACTCTTTAGTTGCTTTCTGCTCTCAATTCTAAGACTGTTTCTATTTACAGTGAAAGAAAAGTTGCTAAGTTTAGTAATTTAATGTTTGAGGGATGCATTGAGGACTGGGAGCAATAACTTGCACATTCATTCTTTCGGGTCTTTTCAGTTCTTGATGTAGCTGCCTATGAATAGACTGAATTAATGTACTATGCTAAATGAGATAAAGGAGAGAAGGAGGGTGTTTATGCAGGGAGTCAGGTGAAGATGATGGAAAACAGGAAACTTGAGAAAGTGAGCTATGGAAAAAATTAAGAGCACGAAACAGAAAACCTCATTAACAAAACCTGTCCCTGTTTCTTTGCCAGCACTGCTACATTATGCTGTTGTTGTGACAGTCTGTCAGTCTCACGATGTCTTTGCTCGGCTAAAGTTAAACAAACGTCCTACTTCTGCACTTTTCAGACCGACTCTGTCAGGGAGAACACCCCAGAGGCTGAATTACAACAAGCCATTTGCCTTGCAGGACTAAAGCGGACCTGCTGGCAGGACTTATAAATTCCAGGTGTAGAGAAGCATTAATGGGAGTAATATCTCTAAATCTGTGTTCAGGCAGAGTAATGACTCATTAAAAACTCTAGTTCTCCAGTTCTCAGTCAGACGCTGCGGTTGAACTTCATCAAAGAGTCACGGTGTTAACAGCAGATAAAGAGTGCCACTCGGTGAAGGTGATGCTGTTATTTTTCCATAGCAACAGTCACTGTAGAGACAGAGCTATTGTTACGCTCTGACAACAGCCTAATGCTGCTGATGCAAGAGATAGAAATAAAACTCTACACGCACACACACACGCATATACTCAGAGATATTTCCAATCAATACAGTTGGAGTTCACACTTGGCTCAGTGTCGCTTGGCATTTCACACTACAGCGCACTGAACGCACCAACACACTGAGCTCTGTGTGCTCCAGTAGCGCTGAATGGAGGAGAACTGCTGAGTGAGTCTATTCTGTCCCCCCCCCCCTCTCCCCCCACAGGCCCTCGCTGCCTTCTCTCACTGTCCTCATCTATTATGGGATGGGGGTGGCCATGGAGGCATTTATATTCTTTGCAGTTAATCTGTCCTCGTCTGTCCTCATCAGACAGAGCGGCTCAGTATGAGTGACTTTGTGAATTTTGGGATTCCTTTAAAAAAAAAAAAAAAAAAAAGTTTGCATACTATTTACCCTCCTATATGGGAAAAACATTTCATCTGTGATGGAAAAAAAGGGTTATTTTTCAGATTAAAAACATATACTTTGCTTATCAGATATTTGATCACTTTAGCTGCTGGTTGCAGTGGTTGCAATCGTCTGTGTGTGAAGTGGGTGGGCTGCCAGATCTGCAGCACCCTCCAGTGGTGGGTCAAGGTCAAAACAACTGTGAAAAAAATCGTAGTAATTGTGTTGATATTTTATGTTACCAAGGATTTTACCTGACTGTCCAGTAACAATGGCTACTGTGATAAATGATCCCCTGCCATTGGGCGGTACGCTGTGATTTACAGCTGAAACCAGGTATTTACA